AGCTGCCACACTCCTTCAGGGATGCTTAGGGCCACACACTGATGGGGCTTGAAGTGGTCCCTGGCTGGCTCCCGAATGCCCCAGTTTGATTGGTCTGTGGGAGTTCCATCAAACCACTTTATGGTTTCATCTGTGGAAAAATCACCGAATTACTACAAATTATGTGCACAGTTATCAAACATACCAAGACTGGAATGGAACCATAAAAAACAGCCCCTAAATTTAATGAGTCTCTCTCCTTTACTGATGCATTCAACTCAGTAAGTACAGCCATGAACTCAACATCAAAAGGTGGGTATTAATAACATTGCCTTGCGAACAACCCTCTATTTATTTCAGACATAGTGTTCTAGTTTAGTTCATTTAGGATACCGTGTTACTTAAGGTAACAAATTGAGTTCTGGAATTTTCCATATAACATAATCAATTTCAAGAAATAATTAAATAAGTGAAACTAATCAACATGGAGAATAATCCTTTGAAGTGCTAACATCTATATTGTTACCAAATGGCTCAGTTTCTGAAAGAATTTTATAGTGAATTTCTTTAAAGAGCAAGTCAGTCATGTACTGAGAGGGCAGTGAGGGTGGGAGAGTCCATCCTGTGTGTGGGCAACAAGGGGGAAGCTGCATTGTCTCAAAAGAATTTAAAACTCACAATAAAACCAACTCAAAGTCTGTCTGCTTCTTATTATCACCATCTGCTCGAAATTCTAAACAAGGTTGGTGATTAAAATACTCCTCATTGCAAGGGTGGGCTCACCCCCCACCTTGGTACCCCACTGTAACAAGCTCTCCATACCAATTAAAATAATTTTCTTTACAAGTACCTTTCAATGACCATCAATTATGTAAAAAAAAAAGAATACCAGGTTTCCATTTTATTACAAACTCTGGTTTTTATGAGTAGCAAATAAGGATTCTAATAGCACAACTTGTCACGGAAACATTTCCATAACTCGATGGTGCTTTTACAACATTTAGAAACCTGAGTATTTTCAAGTAAATATGGCTTTGGTATGCAGTGAGTAAGTCTGTGGATAAGAAGTTCCAGCCAAGCATCTTCATGCTAAGTATAAAGGTAAACTTGTTATGGTTTGTTTGTTTTTGTTTTGGGTATTCTGGGATTATTCCAAAGGATAAGAGGGTATAGAAAAGGCTTGCAATGTTGTTTCTGGAAGAAATGGCGGTAGGATTCATGCTATTTTTCACAGCAAATGTATCCACAGGGAGCTTTCTGGCTCACGGATGCCATTATCATCAGCCTTAACAGCCATGTATTTATTTATGTCCTCTCCTCTTCCCTACCCAAATCACTTACTGTTACTATCAAATTGAGCATTCAACCAAACCATCTGGACAGAAGAACCAAAAGCAAAAAGCTCTTGTAGGAGAAATGCATTTTCAGTCTCATCCTTGATAGTTAAAAGATTAGATCCTATAAAAAAGTAGCAAATGAACAAGCATTTATGTTTACACAGAAACACAATTTTTAAAATGTCTCCTATACCATTATTTGTAAAGCCAAGGTTTTGAACAGTCAAAACGTCTATTGTACATAAGTGATTTTTGATTACAAAATGTAAAGTAAATTTGTTAGAAGATTCAAGCTTGCACTCAAGAAGTTTTAAAGCGTAGAATGTTAATTTTAGGGAACATTCAAAATTCATAATGTAAAAGGCGTTCAAAGGCATTTCTTGGGGAAATGCATATGCTCGACATCATCTGCGGTTTTCAAATTCTACACTGGCTGTTCCCCTTCAGATATTAGCTGTCCCCCAGATAAGCAACTTTAATAGTATTTGTTTTTTCAGTAGTTTTGGTTGCTCTTAAATTCACTAAATAATCGGACAAATGAAGAAAACCACACCATTTACTGAAATATCAAGAAGCACAGGAAAGCATTTTACCATCACAAAAGAATTACCTTCCCTTTTGCAAAATTCATAAGCAGCCTCAAAACTCGTACTGTCTAGGACTGTAGAAAAACTGTAGCAATTCCGTTTAAATTTTATCCAGGGAATAGATGTTTCTGAGCACAACTCTGGGTGTTCAAATTGTCTTGTTTCTATGAAGAAAAACCAGTTATGATTTCAGGGTAGTAACCGGGTTTATTTATTGCGACCAATATTACATTGCGTTCTGTGAAAGACCAAGATAAATATAGGTAACAAGATTCACGACAATACTCTGAAAGACTGGGTTTAATGTAAATGATTACAACACTGGGGCCAGTGTATAGCATTTCTGGCAGAAATAATCTTCCTAAACTTAATAAGGTATATTGATGCATAGCTGTGTAGGCTTAGTTTGGGTATTGGCTGGGGAGGGGTGGCTGTCGCTCATGTTTACACTCAGTACCCTAAAGATTGCCACAATACAGGGATATGATTCTTAGAAATAGTGGCAGCTGAATGGCACTGGCAAAAGGAACTTCTAAAAGTACAAAATGTGTCCAATGGAGTCCAGAGTATCACAGATTTGAAAAATCCTGCCTGCTAATAAACCTAGGAGAGAAAAGAAAGCATTCAATGAAATAACACAACACAACATAAATCAGGGAAATTCAGGAGGGACATTATTTCAGAGAGCACCATGGGAGTCAGACACCTTCCTGCTGAGATCCTGGCTTTGCCACTCTCTGGCTGTGGGGCTGTAGGACTGTTACCTTGCTCCCGGCACGGAGCTGACAATACCTCTCTTACAAGTGGAGAAATTTAAATGAGTTAGTGCTGACACTTCCCAAGCACTCAATAAATGCATTGTTACTGAAAAAGGAAAGACAGCTTTTATGGTGTCTTTACAATATATATATGGCTATCATTTACATTTACTCCTGAATTGTTTTGATCTAAAGTTACATAGTGGGTATGTTATTTGATACAGAACCCAGAATGTAAGTAAATACACATGTTTTACTAAAGGAGATGTTTAAAAAGGAGACATGTGTGAGGGAACCCTCTTTCTGACCACCACAGCAATCAAGGGACAGCAGCCTCTTATAATGGAATAGATGTCCCAGGAGAGAGTGAGGGAACTTGTCTTCTACTCCTGGTACTGTTGAAGGACAGCTGTGAGATCCCCAGGACCCTATTTAATGCTCTGAGTTTAAGTTTCATCTTTAATAAAGGGGTTGGGCCAGGTAAATGTTAAGTGTAAATGAGATATTATGTAAAGTGTAGGCCAGACACATAGTAAATATCCAAACAGTATCAGCTGTTGCCATCACTATCATCATGATCATCATCACTGTCAAAATGGCCCCGGTTCTCTGTACATGCTCCTAACTCACGTTTCTAGTCTGGTTTCCCACTTTGCCCTTACCCTAACCTGTTGTCCTTCAAGAACCTTTTCTACTTTCCCCCAGATGGACACCATGTATTTGTTTCTTGATAACCCCAGCAGTGTTTGCCACCTACCTCTCTATAGCCCTGGGTAGTATAACAGTTGTCTTTGCATCACTGACTAGACTAGAGGCTTCTCGAGGGCAGAGACCTCTCAGTATTCATCCCTATATCCCCTATATAGCACAGTGTCTTGCACACAGTAGGTGCCTAGGGTATATTTTGTGAGTTGAGTAGAACTGAACCTACCAGTGGGCACTTGACAAATGGCACCTTGCAGGAATGACTCACAGGCTGTGCTATGCCAGCGTCCACTGGTGTCGGCATAAACACAGTCGCCAAGGAAGGATGACGCCTCATCTTTCCAAAAAGTGAAAGAGGATTTGGTGCCATCTGACCAGTCAAAATTAAGACCATTCTGTGGAGGAAAATTGAGCCATCACTTCTTTGCCAGGACTGCTGCACCACCACACAGTGCTATCTGAGCCCTCATCATTCCCATGTAGCTGCACCATCACACAGTGCTATCTGAGCC